GGAGCCAGCCGGAGCCAGCCAACAGAGTCAGCAGCGCACATTGGGCAGGAATGTGTTTCAGAGTTGGAAGTTTCAACACCATTTCATATTCAAAGAAGAAAGGGGTTGGCGGAATTTCACAGTGCAATGCAAACTCTGCTTGCCAGCAAAGAAGATGCTCTCTGTGTCAAAAGACTCCACCTCCAACCTAACAAAGCATCTGAAAGTAAGTTATTTTAAAAAACTAAAGTTAACATACTGCAAATATCTTATTTTAGTTGTGGTAGCTACCTAGGCTATGTGCCACTTCAGTACCTTCGATATAATATTGCTGTGATTTTAGCTAACATTGTTAGTTGGCGTTAACTAACGTTAGTTCATAGACTGGTAAACTTGATAGATAGCATTAACGAGCTGTAAATTATGGTGTGCAGTTGTGAAAGCCATCCCAAAATGATTAACAGTAGGGTGGACATTAAGGTTGGGCGAGATTAAAAAAATTTCCAACCGACAATCGTCAGTCAAACGATAACCAACATAATCGTGCAGGTGACTTGTTAATGGGCGGAGCAATGTAATAATGCACGGACTGATTTGCGCATTTAGAACATAAATAGAAAGTTTAGTTTGGGGGGATATTTTTCTTTTTTTCTTGTTGGAGTTTCTGTATTAACATAGCTACTTTTTGGATTATTCATTTATTTATTCGAGATGCATCAAATTGCACAAAAAACTTAACTTTACCTCTGATATTTTTTATGGTTGCTGGAAGTGACATTTTGGTTTTTAACTTATTTGTTTTTTGGCCGAGTATCTAAGACATAAACACTGGAACACAGTTAAAGTGGAAAAAGAAGTCAGTTTCTTTGTATCCCTCCCCACCATTGTGGTTTGTTTATTTAAATTAAATGTTTTGTTTTTTTCTGAAGATAGACTACTGCTTTTCTTTCATTCTGTTATGAGTTTGAGTAAATGAATCGCTGCATTTGTTCATGCCGTTAAAACACCACTATTATATTTTCCATTGACTGCTTCTCTTACCTTCAACCAACATTATTATTATACTTACTCATGGGCAAATTTTTTTTTTAAAAATTCCTCTTGTAAAAACAATCGGTGAAAGGCTCAACTTATTGTTGATAGTCGAGATATTCGTCCAGTTGCCCAACTTTTTTGCAGTGATCTCGAATACAAAACAATTTCTTCATCAGTAATATTTTATCTTTTGGTTGGTCTCTCTCTCTTTTTTTTTTTTTTCCCAGAGGATGCATCCCAGGGTTATACACAGTTTACCCAAAGCAAATACATCGGATCATGGTGATGATGGCAAAGACACAGCCCCTCCTCCTCTCAAACAAGCCATCCTTAGCACTCCAGCCATCACCCAAAGGAGAGTAAATTCCTTGATATTTGACTTCATAGTCAATGAAGTGCTGCCCTTTTCTACCGTTGAGAATGCCTCATTCCGTAAGATGGTTGAAGGACTAAGTGGGGGCAGGAGTCCTGTTTGCAGAAAAACATTGATGACTCACATTGAGAAAACCTTTCCAAAAATGAAGGAAGCAATAACTGAAATTCTTCTACATA